AATTGCATTATAATATATACATTAATCATTTAAAGGTTATATACTTTATTTTATGTTAAGAATTATTATTGGTCCACATGATCCTTACATAAGCTATTGACGCCAACCATTAGTTTAGGAGTGTCATGGTGCAACATAATTACTTATCAATTTACACTTATATTTAAAATGAAAATAAAAACCAATAATTATTTTAAAAAATTGATACATTCTCTAAAACTGATATCAATTATTAAGTAAGCACTCTTGAAAAAATCAGCATTAAAATATAACTTAATTTAAGTATAATGTGTTATTTATTGTAAAGAAAATATCAAGTTGAGCATGTTTTTTGAATGATTGAATTCAAAGTAAAAATAAAACTATTGGTAGTAAAAATTTTTATAAAACTATTTAGAATCCAAGAAATAATACTAAATATTCACATATGAATCATTGATAAAAAAACACAATAATATGAATGAATGTCTTTTAAATTAGAAAATTTATTGTATTATAAATATATTATATTTATGGAATAATAAATATTTTATTTATCAATGGTAATAATGTACAAATTTACCTAAAATATGCAAGGTATAAAAAAAATAATGATTACCATATTAATTTTGAATGTTAAATATTGTTAAGATAAGTAAATGGATCAGCTTAATTTTTTAGTATTAAAAAAAATTCTGTTCAACTTTTTTTTTTTTNAACGAGTTCTTATTTTGGAGGAACTGGATCTGGAACAAGTTTCTTCTTAATATAAAGAATTAGGATCTGGAACGAGTTCATATTTTAGAAAATGAACGGGGAACGGAACGAGTTCCATTTAAAAAGGAACTTTCCCAACACTGGTTCTACTCCATTATTCTACAATTCAATTTTTGTTTTGATTTGCATTTATAAATGTTCAAACTCCAATCACTTTATTTAAATAAATAATAATTNCTCCAATCACTTTATTTAAATAAATAATAATTTATTTTACATGTAAGGAGTTGGAATTTACTATTCTGAAGTTGTCTTGAATTCAATTTAAAATCATAGAATTTTTTGTCACTATTATTATGGATGTTATTGATTTAACATCCATTATTTCTATTGAGTTATTTAAAGAAATAAAAAAATGTTTATAACAAAACTCAATCATCAACATTTAAAGGAATTAATTAATTCTCTAAAAACAGAACTGGTTTTATTTTGTGAAAAACTAATAATTGTTTTTTTTTAATAATTTTCTAATATTATATTTTGTATTATCGATTAAGTTAAAAATTGAATGAGTAATTAAATTGTCCACTTTTCATATTACATTTATTAAAATATTTCTTTACATTTTATTGAAAAATTCTATTGTTTTACTCACAATTTGATGAAATACCATTTCAAGTTTGTAATTATAAATTATATTCAGTTAATTNACTCACAATTTGATGAAATACCATTTCAAGTTTGTAATTATAAATTATATTCAGTTAATTGTATTTGAAAATTTTTTACTAATTCAGAAATACAAGACAAAAACTTGATTATTTATTAATTTATATCTCCGTAATGAAAAATTATGAATTAATTAATACTTTTGTATTTATAGTAGGAAAATGTAACAAAATAAATACAGATTTATTTTATTTATTTATAAATAAATTTTGATTTGTGACTTAAATTTCTTTTATCCAATAATTCTACTAATTAAAGATGCATAATAAAGATAAAATACTTAATTAGTACTCAACAATGTATTGCCATGTACAAAATGTTAGCAAATATTAAATTATATAAATTTTTGAATTAATAAATTAGAGAACTGTTATGAAATAAAATAAAACTTTATGAGGTTATACTTTAATAAATATGAAACACAAAAGTTAAAAAATCAAACTTAATGTATTAAGATATTTTATTAAAAGTAAAAATTATAACAATCATAAAATTTTCTAACTTATTTACTGTCAACAGTTGTAAAAATGTTGACTAAATTTGCTAATCTAAGTAATGAATAAGTAAATTATAAAACTAATCAATCAGAAATTAATATTCTTATTTAACTTAAATTCTAAACTTGCCACTTAAATAAAATATCAGTTGTTTAAAATTTTAGCAAATAATAAAAAACCATAGAAATTAAAAGATTCTTTAAATATTCATACATTTTGAAAATATACTTGAACTGTGAATTGAAAATTGGTATGATATTATCTGCTATTTTTCNAACATACATACATAAATACATACATACAGGTGAAACTAATATAAGCGTGTTAATAAAACTATCAAAAACAAACAATCAAATATATCAACTATACTTTATGATAATATTATTACAATCAATAATAAAATCAATTGGTAGTCATCAGTTAATCAAAGACGACTAATTGTTGCATTGCCTACGGTAAGGTCTGTTTCACTTACAAATAAATTAAAATTGAAAATGGCACTAATAAATGATGTGGGGCTCGTGATGAGTTTTAATGTAGATAACTATTTTAAATGTCTCGACTATTGTGAATGCTCTTGCTGTTAATTTAATTATACACTTACATGCTAAATTTTCCGTAAATGTAATATAGAAAGCAATACAACCATATGTGAAACTAAGGAAGTAGCTTAATCTTTTAAAAATTTAGAAAATTATGTTTATTGTTATTTAAATTATTTTTAGAATGGGGAAAAACACATTTAGCCCTTTTAAAATATNTTGTTATTTAAATTATTTTTAGAATGGGGAAAGACACATTTAGCCCTTTTAAAATATTCTTTATAGTAGCATCTATGTATTAAAATCTTGGAACTTTCATTAGACTTTAGACAAAAAACATAAATAAATACATAATGGTAAAATTATATATGAGGCGTATAGTTTCAAAACCAGCTAAAACCATTTTTTGACATTTTTTAGGAACAACAAAATAAGACATTGTTAAATGGGTGATTTGATACCAACCATATTTTATCTATGATTAATTTAAACCAATTAGAGCCTATTTTTAAGTTCAATATTTTTACTGGACATTTAGTACAGTGTAAAATATATAATAAATATACAGTGTAAAATACAAAAAAAATCGTTTTGAAAAAATTCACTTATAGCTGGTTTTGAAACTATACGCCTCATATAAAGTATATAACTAACTATATAACCAAGTTANTAAAGTATATAATTAACTATATAACCAAGTCATGTGATTCATGAAAGAGGCAGCTCGGCTTTAACATCAAGTAGTACCCAAACACCAGAGAGAGTATTTTCTTTGTATCCCTTAGTTCATAAGGCTACAATTGCATTATAATATATACATTAATCATTTAAAGGTTATATACTTTATTTTATGTTAAGTATTGTAAGAACATTTATTACAATATTCTTACCACTTATATTACACACGTTTTATTTCTATTTATTTAATTCGTAATACATATTAATTAGCATAGAGGGAGATGCTGATATGACAATTCTACTCGTCTGTAGCCCGGAGCTACTGACATCGAACTAACAAAGGGCAGTTGTGTTTGAGTGGCCGTTATAGACATAATTTTTCAATATTATTACTTTCGTCTTATTTATATTATTTATAACTTTACTTGTTTTATTCAACGACCCGTCTATCGCCAATTGTCATCATAGCCAACCAACTCCGTCTCACTTGGATATACCTACTAACCAACTGTACTAGGATTCAGGTCAGACGTATTGTACATTACATATAACTTATATTTACTGAACATCTAAATATAACCTTACTTTGTCGTTGACATAAAACAATAGTCTAATTTTATTTAATAATCTATCCCCTGTAACTAAGGTACACGATTGCCTGTGTCTCCTTCAGGCAATTAAAACTCATTTAAGGAGATAGGGACGATATTTGAGCAGACGTCGGGTAGCTTCCGATTCTTGGTTTTGACCAAGATCCTCAACTATTAAACAAGCCCCTAACANCTTGGAATTTTTTCGGCTGCCCCGGACGCTCTTTGTCTGACACATCGAAATCGCCAACTTTGAAGCGATTAAACCAGCGCTCACAAGTATTCTGGGATAAACAATGCTCTCCGTAAACTCCTTGAAGTATACGGTAACTTTCAGCAGCACTTTTTTTTAAGAGAAAGTAATGTAACAAAACCTCCCGCAAATGCTCTTTTTTTGGAACAAATTCCGACATTTTAACACGTAAAAAAAAATGATATAAGCGCTTTCAAAAAGTACGACTTTCACTACTTTAAAGGGTTATGTCGATAAAAAAAATTGCTCACATATCAAGCCACGTGCTCTATTATATGAGTGTAACGCCATCTGTTGAAAAATATCCCCATTATTAAGTTATACACCTGGTACCTATATATTAACTCAAAAATTTGAAACTTTAAATATTTATATCTAATAAACAAATTAAGTTTTTATGTTTATTATTTAAATGTTGTTTATTTTAAAGTATTTAAAGTAAAGGTATAAAATATATTGTGTTTTATTTTAATGTTTATAATTTTTTTTATTTAAAAGATGTTCAATTGTTTTTTATGTCAAACAAAAGTTTAATATTGTATTTATTTTAATTGTGATGGTAAAAATAAAGTTTGTTATGTTAAAAATTTAAATAAAATATTAACTTGATTGTTCTTATGTTTTAGGAAAATATGTTATGACTGAATTAATCATAATATGAGTCGCCAAGTTGGCAAGGAATGGCAAAAAACTGCATACTAAAAAAATTATGGAATATATATATCACCAAGTTATTATATTATAATGTATATCAAGAACCCTGATAAAGATTTGTTAACATTTAGGGGGTTTTTAGGGGGGGTTGATGTTCAACATAACGAGTTTTGGTACAGCATGCTGGATATAACGAGTTCTGCTGCATTAGGCCTATGTGTGACAGGCATATTGAAATAAGGAGAAATCTCATTTTAATAACAACTTATTTTTATTATTTCTTAAAAATATTCTCAGTAGAATAAAAAATTGGTTAAATGTCCATTGTCCATATTATTAGACTAGTATAATGTTAACATATTTATACAGCCAACTCTTCTTCAGCATCATTAATTTCCCCGATGTCAGAGTCTTGCTCTTCTTGTGGGTCAGTAAGGGCTTCTTGTTGGCTAAACAAATTTTTGAAGACTTTTCATTAATTTTTTTGTGGCTTTTGAGTTTAATATTTTTAATATTTTTTAGTTTTTTTAAATTAATAATATTTTTAATATAGTTTTAATTTTACTTAAATTTTTGAAGAAGTTGAGTTCTTCATTTTGTTCCCACTCCTTGGTGAAATGTTTTACCAAAAGGGAAGTTAGGTCCTTCAATTTCGCCTTTTTTATGGCAACACCTTCCTTCTCTGGTTTGGGATTCATGAGTTTTAACTGCTTTCCATGCTTAAGAAGACTTTTTGCTACTCCTGTGTCAACATTGTAATGAGTTTCACCTCTTACAATACAGCTTCCTTTTTTTGTTTTCACCAGGATAATACGTTTGGTCGGTCTTAACTTAAAATGCCAATCTTTAGGCTCTTTGATAGTTTCAGACGTTGCCACTTTCCAGTCNTTGATAGTTTTAGACGTTGCCACTTTCCAGTCTACCATGGGGCACTCTTCTCCCAAACGAATAACCGTTGCACAAGATTTAAAAATTTCAACATAGTCCTTGTCTGTCAAAAGAGTGGTGTTCTTTTTAATTTTAGACTCAATTCGTCCAAAAACCCTATCGGGAGGGATAAAGGAGTGGCCAACTATTGGGAAGAGCAACATTATTTTTTTTACAGACGGTGGAGAATCTTGTGACAGAAACTTGCTGAGCATACCGATGACTATTTTATTTTTGTTTTGGCCACCGCATCCAGCAGCGACTACTTTGATAGTGTGCACTCCAGTCAGATCTGTGTTTAGCAAGCGATGATACATTGCTGAAGAAATTTGGTTTGAGCCTTTTTTATACTCATTTTCCAACCAAACATAAGAGAAGACTTTATCCTTAGATTGTGGATCTGTTGAGAAGCCTTCACAAATGGTAAAATTGTAAATATACAATTGACGCAAATAGTAGGAGGCTTGATCAGGGATTTTCGGAATAACCTGGTTTTTCTGGCAATCAAAACTAAACGTGATTTCACCTTCTTTTTGCTCTTTAACCAGTTTATAGAAGGCATCTGCCCTAGCTTTATGAACATTGAGTTTTGTCTCAAGCTTGTCTTTTTCTTGTGGGTCCCTAGAACACTTAATCCTTTCTTTAAGTGACAGACATGTGGAACAGACATCAGTTGCAGGTGAGCCGAAGCCTATGTTGTAATCATTATCGAAAATGTTCCTGAAATAATCGTACTTTATTTTAAGGTTGTCATCATGAGAACCTTGATATTGTTCCCAAAGTGATTTGATAGTCAACTCGCTAGGTAGGTACTGACGCGTAATATTCTTTCGCCGACAGTAGTGGCTTTCTAAAACTTGTAGGGATTCTATAAAAGCCTTTACAGCCTGTTTTTGGTCTGCATATTTTAATGATCTAGTGTCCCCTCCACGTTCGTCCTTGGGTGCATTCCCAAATTCAAGAAATTTTTTACACAATAACTGTATTCTATCTCTTGATACACCAAGGATGTTCACAAAGAGTTTTTTACATACTGGAACTAGTTCTGGTCGGCCACACTTTAATACAGGTATGTAATACTTTGTTGTTACCTTTCTATTCCGGCTTGATTCATCTCTACTTCTTGACCTCTCCTGTGCGGGTTGACTTACTGTGACATATCTGAGGATGAAATTCTGTTGGGCTTCTCTGTTTGGGTTTTCATAAAACTTCTGGTGCATTCGCCGTACATCCTGGTAACTCACTTTGGTACACTTAAAAGCCTCTGTAGCAGAATGATCACATGAAGGTGGTGGAGGTAGGCCAGGTGAAGAATATCTGAAAATAAGAAATAAAATTGTAGGCATATGCATGAGACTTAGATATTTATAAAACATGGAATACCTTACAAATCAATTGCATAACACAGTGATAAGATGAGTAGTTAACACTGAAAACTAAACCTAACCTGCAAATATTTGTAATGTCTTACCTTTGTTTCTTAGCCTTATTTCGTTTCCATTCCTCTTTGTTTGGCCATTTCTTTCTTCCCTTGCCCAACTGAGCTTTCTTAACTTGCAGTGGATTCATTTGTATTCTTTAAAAGGCTTTAAAAACATTTAATTCGTTGTTAAGAGGTTAAAAACAAGGTAGAAATATCGCAATAATAAAACAAGATTTATTGATGGAATGTGTAGAGTGAATACCAGCTGTGAGTGTTGACAGAATCAGTGTTACCAGCACAATCAAGAACGCTACTCAAAACTCAGAATAGTAGTAAAACTGCTTACAAAATAAGAATTATATGTGAGCTTAACAGAGTGGATATAACGGTATATGCAGCAGTTTAGTTGTTGGTGGTTCAATTTGCAATGGGACATGACGAGTTTTGCACCAGTTTTATTAAGCGGGAGAAAACGACTTTTGCTGCAGTACAAGAATGGACATAACGAGTTTTGCAGCATGTGTTGGTTTTAAATTTGTTTTAACCCGGTTTAGAACGAGTTTTGCATCATTACGTTACTGTATTTCGATGCAGGAGACCGAACTTTACAAAATTGCGGTCTTATATCAATATCGAAAAAAATGGAATTAACGGGTTATGATACTGGACGACTCATATAATATATTATAAGAGTATAAATACATTTTACATGGTCAATTATAAAAGTGTTCAAGTGAAACATTGCCACATGGTCACTTTTTACTCTGAAGTTAAGTTGGTAAATTACAATTAATTAATTAAAATAATTCTATAAATAACCTTAAAAAAGAAAATGATATTCTTAAATCTGAAATAAATAGTCTTCGTGGTAAAATATCAAATATTGAGTTTAATAATTTTGCCAAAAATCTGTCATTTGTAGAGATGATCTTAGAAGCGCAAAATAGAATCTTAAAAAGTAAAAATGTTATTATTTTCAACAAAGTAGAGTCGCCAAACGAAACAAATAATAGTCCATTAGAAATCGCAAATGAGCTGATAAATGACTTAAATTTAAATATAAAAATTTTTCATGCTAAACGTATAGGTGGAATATATACAGCTACACGTCCATTACTCATACAACTTGAAAATGAATAAAACGTATTAGATTTACTAAAATCTAAATCTAAATTGCGTTCAATTCAAAAATGGAAACATGTCTGGATAAATTCTGACTTAACGAAAACTCAACAGAATAACATCAAACTCCTTAGAGAAGAATTACACCAAAAACGAGAAGCTGGAAACACTACTTTATTTATCAAGTATGTTAATGGTATACCAAAAATTTGTTCAAAAAACTAGTATACTCTACATCTGGTAGATCAAATAGTACTTACTTCTGTTCATATTGTAAAAAGTATAATGCAAATTGTGTGAAAAGTTGTGTAAATAATATATCTATTAAAAAAGTTTTTACAGGATTTTATCAAAATGTAAGAGGTTTAAGAACCAAAATTAGATTTTTAAAATGCAATGTGTCCTTTAATTAATGTTGATTATTTTATGTTGACTGAAACATGGTTAAATACTGATATAGTTGATTCTGAATTGGGTTTTGATAATTACAATGTCTTTCGTCTTGATCGTAGTATTCCTACTAGTTCTTGTGTACGTGGAGGTGGAATTGTTATCTGTGTTCATAAACGTTATATTGCTAAACAGGTTCTAACGCCTACTTCAAACGTAGAGCAATTATTTGTATCTGTAATCGCAAATGATAACATAAAAATTATATTAGGTACGTGTTATATACCACCTGCAAGTCCAGTTACTATTTATACGACACATGTTGAAACTATTGACTATCTATATTCATTATTTGATAACAGTACGCAGTTCATTTTAACAGGGGATTATAATCTACCAAATGTAAAGTTTACTAACGACGATTTAGGTGTGTTATATTCAGGTGTCCATACACCCAGTGCAGATATTATCTTCAAGTATTTTTCTAGTCTAAATTTTTACCGAGTCAACATGATAGTAAATGAGTTTGGAAAATCATTAGATTTAGTATTTGTAACAAAAAACACTACTCGTGTTAATAAATCTGAAGATAATTTAGTTCCGTTAGATAAACATCACCCAGCACTAAATATTTATTCTGATATTTCTATAAACCCTAAACTGTCTATTGATAATGAAAAAAAATATAATTTTAAGAGCGCTAATTATGAACTTTTATCAATTATGTTAAATAACTTAAATTGGTCATATTTATATGAATGTAGTAACATCAATTTGGCAGTAGATAGATTTTATGAATTAATATTCCAAGTCATTGATAAAGTTGTTCCTAAAGTTTTCCCTCGTAAATCAAAATTCCCACATTGGTTTTCTAAAGTATTAATATTCCATATTTACAAAAAAAATAAATTACATAAAAAATATAAACGTAAAAATTTACCAGAACTTTATAATAAGTTTTCAGAAATGAGAGCTGTATGTAGAGCACTTACAAAACGTTGTTATTCAAACTATTTACATAATATACAAAATAGTCTAGTATCTAATCCTAAATACTTTTAGTCATATATATAATATGACTAAATTGTAAAAATATAAATCGCTTACCAACTACATTAGATCTAGATAATACACACTCTGATAACCTAAATGATATAGTTAATAAGTATGGTAAATATTTTGGATCAGTTTATTTATCTCCTAATAAAAATGTAAATGGTTCTTTAAATAGTATAGATAATATCCATCTAAGTAAATGTACAGTCACAAGGTCTGAAGTCTTTGATGGCCTTATAAAATTACATGTAAATACAACGGCTGGTCCTGACCAAGTCCCGGAGAATTTTTTTAGGAATTGTTGCTACTCCCTAGCATGCCAAATTCATTTTCTATTTTCATTATCTTTATCATCAGGTATTTTTCCAACTATTTGGAAGACTAGTTACATATATCCGGTATTTAAATCTGGTTTAAGATCAAATATACGCAATTATCGACCAATATCAAGATTATGCGTTTTACCAAAATTATTAGTAATAAAACTTACATATTTTTTAAGTCCAAGTCTGTTAGATAATCAGCATGGATTTAGACCTTTCAAATCCACAGTTACAAATTTATTAATTTATTACACAGATTTAATAACTGTAGTGTCTAAAGGTGGTCGTGTAGATGCAATTTATACCGATTTAAAAAAAGCTTTTGATAGTGTTGACCACTCAATATTGATTAATAAATGAAATGTTTTGGGAGTAGGAAATCCAATGCTAAAATGGTTTTCCTCTTACCTTAATGATAGAAAACAAATAGTTAAAATAGAAGAATTATCGTCCTCTGTTATTCTTGCAACATCTGGAGTTCCACGAGGTGGGCATTTATCTCCTCTTCTATTTATAATTTTTATTAATGATCTTTGTAACGTATTTAATCATTGTAAGTATTTATTATTTGCCGATGACTTAAAGATATATGCTCAAATTCAATCACTAAGTGATTATGATAAATTACAATCTGAATTAGATAAATTTTATGAATGGTCAATAAAAAATAAATTACAGATAAATGTTAATAAATGTTTACAAAAAACATTCACAAGACCTAAATCTTTTATTCATAACCAATATGTAATTGATGGTTGCAATATTAGTGTAGTTAACCATGTGAAGGACTTAGGTGTTTTCTTATCTAGTGACTTAACATTCTCAAAACATATTACATATATTTGTAATAAAACTTCTAAGACACTAGGATTTTTAAAACGTAATTGTAATGAATTTCAAAATATAACATGTTGGAAAACCTTATATATTTCACTAGTAAGGTCTATTTTGGAATATGGGTCTATTATATGGTCACCTTATGTGCAGAGTGATATAAATAAGAGATTGAGTCCATTCAACATCGATTTTTAAACGTAATCTCTTCTAAAATTAAAAATAATGATATTAATCATAAAAAGTTACTTGAAAATCTAAAAATTCATTTTCTTTTGTGTAGAAGAAATTGTTTAGATGTTATATGGATTTATAATCTACTAAATAATAAAATCAATTGTCCCGAAATTTTAAACTTAATACCGATGAACGTTCCTCAAGTATCTGTCCGTTCCTATCCAATGTTTTATATATCTATTCATACACAAAACTATAGTAGAAACGCTCCGGTAAATCAAATGTTGAATTTATGTAACAAAATAAATAATTTTGATTTTTATCATGATTCTTCAACATCATTATGGTCTATTTGTTGTAAAACGTTTAATTCATAATACCATAATTACATACACTATTTGAGCTAACTTGTTTGTAATGTATTTAGTATTATTGAATTTTTATAATCATTTAATTATTAAGTTAATTTCACTATGTACTATTTTTATATTGTATTTGTTTTTTTTTTCTATGTTATTATCTGTACTACTTGCCTCACAGGCGTAATCATCCATTATGATGAAATAAATAAATAACTATCTAGTAAAATTTTGTACCATATTGGTAAGTATATTATTATTTCGGTTTAATTGATATCAAGTTTGTTCAATTTTGTTAAGTTTTAAATTTTGTAACCGATGTTAAACATTCAAGCTAGTTTTTCTCAAAACTACAAAAAAAAATACTTGGTCACTTTTGACATGATGACGACGATATACAAAAGCACAATTAATAACACAAAAGCTAATATGGCTGACCAAACGACAACGTTTGCCATTTGTCGCCTTTGGTTACCTTTGAGGAGTTCACCAAAATCACGTGTTCGTCGTACAGTAATTAAAAAAAAAAAAAAATTTGAAAACCGGGTCCTCACCAACACGACTAGCTCGCATTGGCCGGGTAGGCTGGCCTATCACCCAATAACCGGTTCCCGGCCATAAGCTTGACTATAACCACACAGTTCCTCCTGCAACCACCACTACGAAGCCAAGCTAATACTGCGCACGGAGCGACTATGTCGGTCCACACTCGAGTACCGGGGGAGCGAGTCTCGACTTACCCGCTCGTTGGCGGGTGCTCTCCCCCGCCCTTAGCCCCTTTTTGGTCCCTTTCGGGAACCCAGGCTGGTGGCCTGTACGACGGTTGCTCGTCAGCCGAAGCCTCGCGGTCGTCTACCTGACTTGGGCGATGAACCCGGACCCAGGTGAGCCCCTCCAGGACGCTCGTCCTGTGGGCTATAAGGTAGCCATCCTCGTTTTATCGACAACAGCCGTCGACTATTTTGATCGCCTTTTACGATCGGCACAATTATTACCCCAGTAGAATTCTAAGCCCCTTGCTGAAGGGCTCTACGGTTGCCTATTTGACAACCGGAATTCGCCATCTTTCAAATCATTTACGTACCTTGGTCATGATGGTACCAACTACCTGCCTACCAGGGATCTCCTGTCCCTTTTCTCCTCTA